GGGTGGCCGACCTGCTGGTGGGGCTGCTGTCCGTCAGCCTGTTCTCTCTGTACGGTGCTCAGCTATTATGCATGTTCTGTTGGAGGAGCCATTTCTACACTGAAGCTTAAGGATTCAAGGCTTTTGTTATCATTGTGTGTCCATAGCTACGTGCTGATTGGCCGCTGGCCGCTGGGCCCCGCCTCTTGCGACCTCTTCCTGGTCCTGAACCATGGGGTGAGCAGCTCCTCGGTGCTCCACCTGCTGCTCATCAGCCTGGACCGCTTCCTGTGCGTTGTGGCGGCCGCTCAGCTACCCGCGCGCCGCAGTGCTAACGCAGCGAGGCTCATGATTAGCTGTGCCTGGCTCCTCCCCTTCCTGCTCTGGACCCCCTCCATCCTGAGCTGGCAGAGCAGCGGGGGGGAACGTCTGGTCCCGGACGGAGAGTGCTTCCTGCAGCTGATCTCTAGCCCCGCCGCCACGCTCGCCACCACGCTGCCCTCCTTCTTCCTGCCCGCCCTCATCATGGTGGCCCTCTACAGGTGAGAGAGACACAGAGTAACTTGCTAACACACACACACAAAAACACACACACAAACACACACACACACACAAACACACACAAAACACACAACAAACACACACACACACACACACCTTACCTTACCTCACCTCACCTCACCTCACCTCACCTCACCTTACCTATTCCTCCTCGTACAGCCGTCTCTCGGTGGCGAGTCGTGGCAGATTGATAGTTCGCCCGGCGACCTCCAGCCCCTTGATCAAGGACTTCCTGTTGAAGCGGCGTCGCAGCGTGGTGAGCAGAGAACCCGCCTCCGACGTGTCTCTGAACCAATCAGAGAGCAGCACGCCCAAGTCTGGGAGGAGCAGGAAGACGTCCAGGAGTCCTGCGGCGGACACTCGTATCGAAGACTCCAACAAGATTGAGACGGACTCTTCGTCCAACGCAGACGCCAACAAGACGACGTTCTCCACCTTCAGCAGCTTCAGGTCTGTGGGGGAAACTCACTGAGACAAACCAGCACAGAGGGAACAAGTACACACATCCTTTACTCAAGCAGAAGTACAGATATTCCTGTTTAAAAATACTCCGGTAAAAGTAGAAGTACTGACTAAACTTCTTTACTCAAGTAAAAGTAAAGAAGTTTGGGCTTTGTGTCCTTGGGCGAGACACTTCACCCTAATGTTCAGTATTCACTGTTCCATGTCTGATATGTGTAATATGTGAAGCGCTTTGAGCATTCGGAAAAGTACTCGTATAAATGTAATGAAAGGCAGATTCAAACTAAAGTAACCAGCCTGTTTTGAAAATGTAAGAAGTAGAAAGTACATCATTGCATTTAGCTGACGCTTTTATCCAAAGCGACTTACAATAAGTACGTTCGACCAAAAAATACAAACTTGAAGAAAACAGAATCATAAAGTACATCAGGTTTCATCGAGCCAAACATTTCAAGTGCTACTCGACTGGCTTTAGATAAGCCAGTCCTTTATTAGTATATAAGTGCTTTGTTAATAGTTCTATCGCTCGAAGTGGAGTCGATAGAAGGTGTGCAAGCTATCTGCTGTCCTGATGTCAATGGGGAGCTCATTCCACCATCTTGGAGCCAGGACAGCAAACCACGTGTTTTCGCCGATGGGAACTTGGGTCCCCCTCGCAGCGAGGGCTGCAGCGAGTCGTTTGGCGATGCAGAGCGTAGTGCACGCGCTGGGGGTGTACGGTTTAACCATGTCCTGGATGTAGGAAGGGCCAGATCCATTCGCAGCACGGTAAGCAAGTACCAGGTGTCTTGAAGTGGATTCTAGCAGTTACCGGAAGCCAGTGAAGGGAGCGGAGAGGCGGAGTGGGTGTGGGAGAATTTAGGAAGGTTGAGACCCCAGACGAGCCGCTGCATTCTGGATGAGCTGCAGAGGGTCGGATGGCACATGCAGGTTAGACCCAGCCAGGAGGGAGTTTGCAGTAGTCTAGGCGTGAGATGACGAGAGCCTGGACCAGAACCTGCGTGGCTTTCTGAGTCAGCTGGGGACGTAGCTTCCTGATGTTGTAAAGCGTTTGTATCTGCAGACAACGGGTCTGTAGCAGCGATGTTTGCAGTTGAAGGACAGGTTGTTATCTAGGGTCACACCCAGATCCTTGCAGTCTGAGTCGGGGAAACAACTGAGGTGCCGATGTTGATTGTTAGGTCAAGAGTGGGATTCAATCTTTTCCGGGAAGGATGAGCAGCTCAGTCTTGTCAAGGTGAGCTTGAGGGTGATGAGCAGACATCCACTGAGAGATGTCAGCTAGACAAGCAGAGATGCGTGCGACGACCTGGGTCTCTGAGCGGGGAAAGGACAGAATTAATTGGGTGTCGTCAGCGGCTAGCAGTGGTAGAAACAAAGCGCATGCTCCTGTGCTAATGACTGATCCGAGCGAGTTTGGGTACAGGAGAGAAGAGGAGGGGACCAAGAACAGAGCCCTGAGGGACCCCTGTAGTTAATTGACAAGGTCGGACTCAGGACCCTCTCCAAGTCAACCCTTGTAGGTACGGTCTTTGCAGGTATGAGGTGAGGAGGGAAAGTGCAGAGCCTGAAACTCCAAGTTCTTGGAGAGTGCGAAGAGGACTCTGATGATTCACCGTGTCGAATGCAGCAGACAGGTCCAACAGGATGAATGAACAGAGGAGAGGGATGCAGTTTTGGCAGTGTGCAGTTCCTCCGTGACAGCAATGAGAGCAGTTTCTGTGGAGTGACCTGCCTTGAAACCAGACTGGTGCGGATCCAGAAGGTTGTTCTGATGAGATAACAGGAGAGTTGTTTAAAGACAGCGCGTTCAAGTGATTTAGACAGGAACGGGAGAGGAGAGAGACAGGCCTGTAGTTTATAACATCAGACGGGTTGAGAGTGGGTTTCTTTAGGAGAGGGTTTACTCTTGCCTCCTTGAGACTGTTTGGAAAGTGACCAGAAGTTAGAGAAGTGTTGATGAAATGGGTGAGAAACGGTAGAATATCAGGAGCGATAGTCTGAAGGAGGTTTGAAGGGATAGGGTCCAGAGGACAGGTGGTAGGACGGGCAGAGGTAATGAGGGTAAGAACCTCACTTGGAGAGAGAGGGGAAAAGGAGGTTAGTGTGTTGGTGTAAGGAGGGTCTGGTGACCCAGCGGTGAGTAAAGGTGAGTCAGAAAAAGAAGAGCGAATATCATTAACCTTTTTTTCAAAGTGGTTAACAAAGTCGCTTGACAGAAGTGAGGAGGGGGGAGGGGCTTTGGGGGGGTCAAGAGGGAGGAGGGGGAAGGGGCTTTGGGAGGGTCCAAGAGGGAGGAGGGGGAAGGGGCATTGGGGGGGTCCAGGAGGGAGGAGGGGGAAGGGGCTTTGGGGTGGTCCAGGAGGGAGGAGGGGGAAGGGGCTTTGGGAGGGTCCAAGAGGGAGGAGGGGGAAGGGGCTTTGGGAGGGTCCAAGAGGGAGGAGGGGGAAGGGGCTTTGGGGGGGTCCAGGAGGGAGGAGGGGGGAGGGCTTTTGGAGGGTCCAAGAGGGTGGAGAAGATGGAAAATAGTTTTTTAGGATTGGAATAGGAAGATTGGATCTTATCTTGAAAGAAAGTGCTTTTTGCCTGAGAGATCGAAGCAGAGAAAGAGGAGAGGAGAGCTTGATAGGTTAGGAGGTCGTCACGGTGTTTGGATTTCCACCATTTCCGCTCTGCTGCCCGAAGGACGGTTCTATTAGCACGCAGTGCGTCATTTAGTCAGGGAGCAGGAGGGGACTGACGAGCCTGCCGAGATGTGAGAGGACAGAGAGAGTCCAGAGAGGATGAGAGAGTAGAGAGGAGAGTTTCTGCAGCAGAGTTTGGAGGCAGGAGTTGGAACGAGTCAGAGGAAGGGAGGGCTGAGAGCACCGATGAGGCAAAGGTAGAGGGGGAGAGGGAACGAAGGTTACGGCGGACAAGTGCAGGATGAGAAGAGATTAGTTTGTTATGTTTTGAAAGGGAGAGAGAGAATGAAATGAAGAAGTGATGGATGTGTGGAGCGGGTTTACAGAGAGGTTAGAAGTAGCGCAGTTCCTTGAGAATATGAGATCAAGGACATTGCCAGCTTTATGAGTCGGTGGGGACGGAGAGAGTGAGAAAGCAAAGGTGGTTAACAGAGATGTTAGTTCGTCTATCTTCCCCGTCTGGAGGTTGAAGTCTCCGAGAAGTACAGCGGGAGGACCAGTTTCAGGGATGTGTGAGAGGAGATGATCTAATTCCTCCAAGAAGTCCCCCAAGGCGCCTGGTGGACGGTAGAGAACAACAATGGTTAACTGTATAGGATGGGCTACTGGGACGGCATGGAATTCAAAGGTGGAAGGAGTGAAGTTAGGTAGCTTGAAGAGGGAAAAGCTCCATTTGGAGAGAGAGCAGGAGACCAGTGCCACCTCCTCTGCCAGTGGGTCTGGGTGTATGGGAGAAGGAATATGCAGTGGAGAGAGCTGCTGGGGTGGATGTGTTGGATGGAGTAATCCAGGTCTCAGTGAGAGCAAGGAAATCCAGAGACTGCAGGGAGGCGTAGCCAGAGATGAAGTCAGCCTTAGGAACAGCTGACTGGCAGTTCCACAGGCCACCTGAAACTAGATGTTGGATCTCAGTGGAGCACGTGGGATAGACGAGAGCAGGCCGGTTATATCGATTAGGAGATACACGGGGCCAGTGATAATTGTGAGAAGACACATGAACAGGAATGGAGAAAATACACATGATTATAGCATGAGGGGCTAAACAACAAAATGAAAACTAAACACCAGCGATACTTAGCTCAGGTATTTGTGTTCAACATGTAAGAAGTAGAAAGTACAGGTATTTGTGTTCAACATGTAAGAAGTAGAAAGTACAGGTATTTGTGTTCAACATGTAAGAAGTAGAAAGTACAGGTATTTGTGTTCAACATGTAAGAAGTAGAAAGTACAGGTATTTGTGTTCAACATGTGAGAAGTAGAAAGTACAGGTATTTGTGTTCAACATGTAAGAAGTAGAAAGTACAGGTATTTGTGTTCAACATGTAAGAAGTAGAAAGTACAGGTATTTGTGTTCAACATGTAAGTAGAAAGTACAGGTATTTGTGTTCAACATGTGAGAAGTAGAAAGTACAGGTATTTGTGTTCAACATGTAAGAAGTAGAAAGTACAGGTATTTGGGTTCAACATGTAAGAAGTAGAAAGTACAGGTATTTGAGTTCAACATGTAAGAAGTAGAAAGTACAGGTATTTGTGTTCAACATGTAAGAAGTAGAAAGTACAGGTATTTGAGTTCAACATGTAGAAGTAGAAAGTACAGGTATTTGAGTTCAACATGTAAGAAGTAGAAAGTACAGGTATTTGAGTTCAACATGTAAGAAGTAGAAAGTACAGGTATTTGAGTTCAACATGTAAGAAGTAGAAAGTACAGGTATTTGTGTTCAACATGTGAGAGTAGAAGTACAGGTATTTGGGTTCAACATGTAAGAAGTAGAAAGTACAGGTATTTGGGTTCAACATGTGAGAAGTAAAAAGTACAGGTATTTGTGTTCAACATGTAAGAAGTAGAAAGTACAGGTATTTGTGTTCAACATGTAAGAAGTAGAAAGTACAGGTATTTGTGTTCAACATGTAAGAAGTAGAAAGTACAGGTATTTGTGTTCAACATGTAAGAAGTAGAAAGTACAGGTATTTGAGTTCAACATGTAAGAAGTAGAAAGTACAGGTATTTGTGTTCAACATGTGAGAAGTAGAAAGTTCAGGTATTTGAGTTCAACATGTGAGAAGTAGAAAGTACAGGTATTTGTGTTCAACATGTGAGAAGTAGAAAGTACAGGTATTTGAGTTCAACATGTAAGAAGTAGAAAGTACAGGTATTTGAGTTCAACATGTAAGAAGTAGAAAGTACAGGTATTTGAGTTCAACATGTAAGAAGTAGAAAGTACAGGTATTTGGGTTCAACATGTAAGAAGTAGAAAGTACAGGTATTTGAGTTCAACATGTAAGAAGTAGAAAGTACAGGTATTTGAGTTCAACATGTAAGAAGTAGAAAGTACAGGTATTTGAGTTCAACATGTAAGAAGAAAGTACAGGTATTTGAGTTCAACATGTAAGAAGTAGAAAGTACAGGTATTTGGGTTCAACATGTAAGAAGTAGAAAGTACAGGTATTTGTGTTCAACATGTAAGAAGTAGAAAGTACAGGTATTTGTGTTCAACATGTAAGAAGTAGAAAGTACAGGTATTTGAGTTCAACATGTAAGAAGTAGAAAGTACAGGTATTTGTGTTCAACATGTAAGAAGTAGAAAGTACAGGTATTTGGGTTCAACATGTGAGAAGTAGAAAGTACAGGTATTTGTGTTCAACATGTAAGAAGTAGAAAGTACAGGTATTTGTGTTCAACATGTAAGAAGTAGAAGTACAGGTATTTGAGTTCAACATGTAAGAAGTAGAAAGTACAGGTATTTGTGTTCAACATGTGAGAAGTAGAAAGTTCAGGTATTTGAGTTCAACGTGAGAAGTAGAAAGTACAGGTATTTGAGTTAACATGTAAGAAGTAGAAAGTACAGGTATTTGAGTTCAACATGTAAGAAGTAGAAAGTACAGGTATTTGAGTTCAACATGTAAGAAGTAGAAAGTACAGGTATTTGGGTTCAACATGTAAGAAGTAGAAAGTACAGGTATTTGAGTTCAACATGTAAGAAGTAGAAAGTACAGGTATTTGAGTTCAACATGTAAGAAGTAGAAAGTACAGGTATTTGAGTTCAACATGTAAGAAGTAGAAAGTACAGGTATTTAGTTCAACATGTAAGAAGTAGAAAGTACAGGTATTTGGGTTCAACATGTAAGAAGTAGAAAGTACAGGTATTTGAGTTCAACATGTAAGAAGTAGAAAGTACAGGTATTTGAGTTCAACATGTAAGAAGTAGAAAGTACAGGTATTTGAGTTCAACATGTAAGAAAGTACAGGTATTTGAGTTCAACATGTAAGAAGTAGAAAGTACAGGTATTTGGGTTCAACATGTGTAAGAAGTAGAAAGTACAGGTATTTGAGTTCAACATGTAAGAAGTAGAAAGTACAGGTATTTGAGTTCAACATGTAAGAAGTAGAAAGTACAGGTATTTGAGTTCAACATGTAAGAAGTAGAAAGTACAGGTATTTGAGTTCAACATGTAAGAAGTAGAAAGTACAGGTATTTGGGTTCAACATGTAAGAAGTAGAAAGTACAGGTATTTGTGTTCAACATGTGAGAAGTAGAAAGTACAGGTATTTGGGTTCAACATGTAAGAAGTAGAAAGTACAGGTATTTGGGTTCAACATGTGAGAAGTAGAAAGTACAGGTATTTGTGTTCAACATGTAAGAAGTAGAAAGTACAGGTATTGGGGTTCATTAGCTCCATGTCAGAAATGAGCATGCTTGATGTCTCTCTCCATAGAGGCTGAATCATCATGTTAATCACATAGCTATCATATGCCTCAAACAGTCCTGATGCTCTTCTAGGTAATCACACATCCTGTCATGTTCACAGCTGCAATTGATACCTTTGTTAGCATGCTGCTCTCATGTTGGAGGAAGACATTCAGGATGTTCCCAATACTTAGTATGATACCGTTTTCCATCGCAGGTCTCAGGAGCAGCGGCTTCAGAGACTCACGGCGAGGGAGAGGAGGGTGACGAAGACCATCCTCTGCATCCTGATAGCCTTCATCGTCACCTGGACGCCGTACAACGTGATGGCAGTGGTCGCCGCCTTCTGCCACGTGTGTGTGCCGGGCTTCCTCTGGACGGGGGGGTACTGGCTCTGCTACATCAACAGCGCCGTCAACCCGGGCTGCTACGCCCTCTGCAACGTGACCTTCAGGAACACCTTCCTCCGCCTGCTGCGCTGCAGGAAGAGCAGCCGGTGAAGCAGGGAACTGTGACGTGTCTTCAATATATTCTCACATTGCATAGACTACTGATGAAGCAGCTCGGCCTGACTATCAGTGAGAAACTTCCCATTGGACTCAGAGAAACCGGAACATTCTTCAATATATTCTGACCTTTTATAGATGAATAAAAGGCAGATTAAAACAGAGCTGCAGGGATGCTGGTATTGAACTGTGTTGGTTCCTGAAGGCAACATCTCTCTGGTCCAATGAGATTCATTCATGTGATTTTGGATTATGTCAGAAAATAATCTCTGTGTCAAACAAACGTTTATGATTCTAACACGTTTAGTTCAGCAGGAAAATCTCCACATATTAACTCCACTTTGTGATTCCTGAGGTAAAAAGCTAATGTTGGGCTATAAAGGAACTACAGCACGGTCACATGACTTCACGTCACCACCGCTAAGCTAAAGGAGGCTAATGTTGGGCTATAAAGGAACTACAGCACGGTCACATGACTTCACATCACCACCGCTAAGCTAAAGGAGGCTAATGTTGGGCTATAAAGGAACTACAGCACGGTCACATGACTTCACGTCACCACCGCTAAGCTAAAGGAGGCTAATGTTGGGCTATAAAGGAACTACAGCACGGTCACATGACTTCACATCACCACCGCTAAGCTAAAGGAGGCTAATGTTGGGCTATAAAGGAACTTCAGCTCGTCACATGACTTCACGTCACCACCGCTAAGCTAAAGGAGGCTAATGTTGGGCTCTATAAAGGAACTACAGCACGGTCACATGACTTCACGTCACCACCGCTAAGTTAAAGGAGGCTAATGTTGAGCTATAAAGGAACTACAGCACGGTCACATGACTTCACGTCACCACCACTAAACTAAAGGAGGCTAATGTGGGCTATAAAGGAACTACAGCACGGTCACATGACTTCACATCACCACCGCTAAGCTAAAGGAGGCTAATGTTGGGCTATAAAGGAACTACAGCACGGTCACATGACTTCCCTTCACCACCGCTAAGCTAAAGGAGGCTAATGTTGGGCTATAAAGGAACTACAGCTCAGTCACATGACTTCACGTCACCACCGCTAAGCTAAAGGAGGCTAATGTTGGACTATAAAGGAACTACAGCACGGTCACATGACTTCACGTCACCACCGCTAAGCTAAAGGAGGCTAATGTTGGGCTATAAAGGAAGTACAGCACGGTCACAGGACTTCACTTCACCCCCGCTAAGCTAAAGGTGGCTAATGTTGGGCTATAAAGGAACTACTGCACGGTCACATGACTTCACGTCACCACCGCTAAGCTAAAGGAGGCTAATGTTGGGCTATAAAGGAACTACAGCACAGTCACATGACTTCACGTCACCACCGCTAAGCTAAAGGTGGCTAATGTTGGGCTATAAAGGAACTACAGCACGGTCACATGACTTCACGTCACCACCGCTCAGCTGGAGGAGGCTAATGTTGGGCTATAAAGGAACTACAGCACGGTCACATGACTTCACGTCACCACCGCTAAGCTAAAGGAGGCTAATGTTGGGCTATAAAGGAACTACAGCACGGTCACATGACTTCACGTCACCACCGCTCAGCTGGAGGAGGCTAATGTTGGGCTATAAAGGAACTACAGCACAGTCACATGACTTCACGTCACCACCGCTAAGCTAAAGGTGGCTAATGTTGGGCTATAAAGGAACTACAGCACGGTCACATGACTTCACGTCACCACCGCTCAGCTGGAGGAGCTAATGTTGGGCTATAAAGGAACTACAGCACGGTCACATGACTTCACGTCACCACCGCTAAGTTAAAGGAGGCTAATGTTGGGCTATAAAGGAACTACAGCACGGTCACATGACTTCACGTCACCACCGCTCAGCTGGAGGAGGCTAATGTTGGGCTATAAAGGAACTACAGCATGGTCACATGACTTCACGTCACCACCGCTAAGCTAAAGGAGGCTAATGTTGGGCTATAAAGGAACTACAGCACGGTCACATGACTTCACGTCACCACTGCTAAGCTAAAGGTGGCTAATGTTGGGCTATAAAGGAACTACAGCACGGTCACATGACTTCACGTCACCCCCGCTAAGCTAAAGGAGGCTAATGTTGGGCTATAAAGGAACTACAGCACGGTCACATGACTTCACGTCACCCCCGCTAAGCTAAAGGAGGCTAATGTTGGGCTATAAAGGAACTACGGCACGGTCACATGACTTCACGTCACCACCGCTAAGCTAAAGGAGGCTAATGTTGGGCTATAAAGGAACTACAGCACGTTCACATGACTTCACGTCACCACCGCTAAGCTAAAGGAGGCTAATGTTGGGCTATAAAGGAACTACAGCACGGTCACATGACTTCACGTCACCCCGCTAAGCTAAAGGAGGCTAATGTTGGGCTATAAAGGAACTACAGCACAGTCACATGACTTCACGTCTCCACCTTGTTTTTGTGCATTAATCAGACTCCAGGCTTTTTTAATGGAATAACAATGAAATCCGGAGTCCAAAAATAAAACCCTATAATCTTTAATCAATATGTGGCTGGAGCCTCTCTGTGTGTTGAAGCTCTGTGATTGGATTTTGATGCCGCAATGCACCTTGGGATACGTAGTTGACTCTTCTGTCCAGGATTCGTGTACCTGTGACCTGTTATTGAAGAAGCTAGTATCTTATATTCTTTACACAGTGTCTTTGTTTATGTTTATTAAGGATCCCCAGTAGCTTTAAAAGCTACTCTTCCTGGAGTCCGCACATCTAAAGTAATACAACAACAATACAACAACAATCAAGACATAAGTCCTGCATCATTAAAAACATTCAACATCACCCACATCATCAACACATCTCATCCACTTTCAATATCAATCTCATCCAAGGATGATGCACAAGACCCCCCCACCAGCACAAAGCATGAGATAACATGACATTAGGGTTCACAGCTCAGAGGGTACATGGTCATCAGTAGATGGCCCTTCAATCTCTTCTTGAAAGAGGCTCTGGACTCTCTGTCAGCCAGGTGGTTTGGCAATGAGTTCCTTTATAGCTCTATAAGACACAGAAGAGTTCAGGAGATGGGTCCTGGGTTTAGGTTCCCGTAGATGGCCTGATGCAGCTTGGTCCTGGGTTTAGGTGCCCGTAGATGGCCTGATGTAGCTTGGTCCTGGGTTTAGGTGCCCGTAGATGGCCTGATGCAGCTTGGTCCTGGGTTTAGGTGCCCGTAGATGGCCTGATGTAGCTTGGTCCTGGGTTTAGGTGCCCGTAGATGGCCTGATGCAGCTTGGTCCTGGGTTTAGGTGCCCGTAGATGGCCTGATGCAGCTCGGTCCTGGGTTTAGGTGCCCGTAGATGGCCTGATGCAGCTTGGTCCTGGGTTTAGGTGCCCGTAGATGGCCTGATGCAGCTTGGTCCTGGGTTTAGGTGCCCGTAGATGGCCTGATGCAGCTTGGTCCTGGGTTTAGGTGCCCGTAGATGGCCTGATGCAGCTTGGTCCTGGGTTTAGGTGCCCGTAGATGGCCTGATGCAGCTTGGTCCTGGGTTTAGGTGCCCGTAGATGGCCTGATGCAGCTTGGTCCTGGGTTTAGGTGCCCGTAGATGGCCTGATGCAGCTTGGTCCTGGGTTTAGGTGCCCGTAGATGGCCTGATGTAGCTTGGTCCTGGGTTTTTAGGTGCCCGTTAGATGGCCTTGATGTTGCTTGGTTCCCTGGGTTTAGGTGCCCGTAGATGGCCTGATGCAGCTTGGTTCCATGGGTTTAGGTGCCCGAGATGGCCTGCATGAGTAAGCTTGTCTAGTCTTATGGTCGTGCTCGTCTCTCGTATAAACTATTGATCATAAATATACAGTGTTTTTTTGCTAAATTGGAAATTTTTTTTAGGAAAAGTGATAACACGAGATTGCAGACGTTTCTCAACTGGAAGCCATGATAGGCCTTCTATGCATAACTCCAATATGAGTGCGCTTCAAACAGTGGAGTCTGGCAGCCTTATTTGAGCTATTGTAATTTCTGTAAATGTGTTTTTGCTGCTGATGACCATGTGACCGGACAGTACTCAAGATGTGCACAAAACCAGAGACTGAATGACTTGCTTCAAAGTGGCTGGTGTTACATACTTTGTACATTTTCTCACCACAGGCCTTCCTTGCCCATTTATAGTTACGATACTGTCAATTTGCTTTGTCAACCGTAAACCAGAAATCAAGAACAATGCCAAGCAGCTTAGTCTCGTTGACTGTTCCACTGGCGACAGCCGGCTGTCAGCTTAATGAGGATTGCTGCTTAACATCTGTCTGGATCCGAACACCATTGCTTTGTTTTGGCAATGTTGAGTACCAGTTTGTTATTGTTGACCCAGTCTGCTAGGGCTCTAATCTCTATTTTAAGTAGATAGTTTAACTCACTGCATGTTGATGCTGTACTGTTCATTGTGGAATCATCAGCATACATTATCACACTGGACTTATTTAATACGTAAGGAAGGTCTTTTGTGAATATAGAATACAACAAAGGCCCAAGCGAACTCCCCTGTGGGACCCCACACTGCGACACCTTACTTTCAGAGAAGCTCCCATTGAAAAAACACTCGCTGCCTTCTCCTAGTCAGGTAGCTCTCCGTCCAACACATAAGCAAACAGAACCAAAGCCATAGCAACAGAACCAAAGCAACAGAACCAAAGCCATAGCAACAGAACCAAAGCCATAGCAACAGAACCAAAGCCATAGCAACAGAACCAAAGCCATAGCAACAGAACCAAAGCCATAGCATTTGAGTTTGTTTCAGCAGCAGACTATGATCGATTACATCGAAAGCTGCGCTAAAGTCTAACATCACAGCTCCTACAAGCCCTCCTATCATCCATGCTCTTTGACCAGTCGTCGGCATCGGCGCCGGATTCATTTCAGAAGTGGGGGGCCAAAAAGTGCGTGTGTATGTGACAAATAGCCTACTTGCCAACCCTCACGATTTTCGCGGGAGACTCCCGTTTTCCTCCCGGGGTCATATTTATCCCGCATTTCTCCCGATTTCTGACTAAATCTGATTTGTTTCATTCTAACATAACGCACCAAATGTTACTGTTTCCCACTCGGACTTCAATACAGCTACACCATTGTTTTGGTTTCCATGGTAACGTGTCTCTTTAGTAGCACGAGCAAATGAAAAGTCTGAGAGGGTCTTTCAGGAGGAAGATAGTCAGAGAAAACAGAACAAGAATGGACAACTCAACCCTCTGCTCACTCCCTTTCCTGTACATTAAACTATACAGACCAGCCCACACATATGACAGCGCAGTTGCTCATTCCATCTCTTCTTTTTCCTGCTACGCTCTTGTTGACAAGCTGAATGTTGACTGGTGTTTGACTGAAGTAAGCTCTGTGAAAAGTTCCAGTTATTAACTCGGTATTTACAAGCTGTCATCTCCACATTTGGAGAAAGTTACAAGCCGTTTGACAGCAGCACATCTGCATATTTCACAGAAGGCTCGTTTAGTGGTTTTGCAAATAATTAACCACTCTCTGTTTTTGTACCATTCTGCATTGAAGTACCTTCTCTTTGCCCAAATAAGCTTTTATTTGCCCGTCACAATGTCCCGAGAACAAACCTCCATGCAGTCGGAACCAGCCTGTTTCGGTTTCAACGATGCCGGCGGCGGCGGTTTGGACAGCCTCTGCGGCCGCAGAGCTGCTGCTGGGGTTCATCTGGCTGCGCTGGTTCTATGGTTGAAGGACCAGGCTCCGGAGTTGTGGATGTCAGGGAGTGTGACATTCAAGTTGTTGAATTTCAGCTAGTTTGACTGTATTTTGTTTTCTTATGCGCCGGTTCTTCTGACATGTTTGCAAGTTTATCTATCTAGGTTAACGGCTGACACACACTGAACAACGTAACACATAGCCTAACGTAAATAACGTAACAAATAAACACATCTAAGCTTTGTTATTGGTTGTAATGTACATGGATACATTTGAATGGTGTGACAATGTCCTATTTGATTGGATTAAAATGTACATATTCTTCCTGTTATGTCTGCCTGCTGTATTTTACCTAATGCAAAGTGACCTGCTCCATCGAAATCAGTCGCATTGATCCGAAGACACATTTTGAGTTGTATACACTGTTGGAAAGAGGAGATTCCTAGCTTTCTAATGATATCAGGATTGTTTTTGTAGCCTACTATATTAAGCAAAATATGTCACATTATATAATGACTGTCACCGAGTCATCATTTTGAGAAAAAGGCCTTAAAGTTTCCTCTTCTCTGGATCGATCTGATTGATTATTAGCGGAGCAAATGATCAAAGTAGTACGGAGGGAAGATATTTTCGTTTGGATTACTGGTCTGGGGGGAGCTCGCGAGTGTGTGCGTGTATACCACGTGTGTGTGTTTATGTATTTTTGCGTTTGTTTCCCGGGGAAAACTTTCAGGAGAAACACCGGCTGTTGTTATGCTTGCTGTGACGTCAAATTACTCCGTTCTCCGCTTGTAATTATGCCGTTAAAGCTTCAAAGCTGTATTTATCATCTGAATTTGCCGAAACAAGTTTAATATTCTGAAAGCCAAGACTTTGTTTATTGAAATCAGATGGAAAACAAACTGTAACGGACCCTGCGGTGTTATCTATGATTACTATGCCTTACATTCATAATGTCAGCGGAGGGAGGGAAGCGGCGCTGTAGAAGAGCAGAGTGGCGAGTGAGAGGCGAGCTGTGTTCTTCCCTTTACAAGCTTCAAAAATGCCTGGAGCTACTGAGATTGAATATAACAATCAAAAATAACAAAAATATCACAGCTAGATCAGATGGCGTTCTTTTTAGATGCGACTTTAGAGTAGAGGGGAATTATTGAAACGGGATGTGTACATGGTTCCGCGGCATCCGCTGCTGCGAAAATGTGGGGCAGGGCCGTAAAGTGGGGGGGCCAATGGCCCCCTGGCCCCCCCGCTTCCGGCGCCCTTGGTCGTCGGTCATTTGTGCAAGTGCTGTTCTTGCAGAGTGACCGTCTCTATAGGCATGTTGGTACTTCGTTGTCAGATTGTTACTTGAAAAGTAGTATTGAATTTGGGTGTATACTATTTGTTCTATGAATTGACTCAGGGAGGAGACTGATAGGTCGACTGTTGGAACCAGCAAAGGTCTTTCTTTGACCCTCGGGTAATGGGATGACCTTTGCTTCCTTCCAGATCTCGGGGCACACGCCTTGCTCTAAACTTTTATTAAAAATGTGACTCAATGGCTTGGAAATGTATTTGGCCGTCATTTTGAGCAGTTTCCCATCAAAGCTGTCGATCCCGGGAGATTTATCATCGAACATTGTTGTGATGATCCAACAGGAGAGATGTCCTTCAGAAACCTTTAACGCTTTAACTCTTTCATTCAATGAAGTTTCTCTGGGATCAACAGCACTTTCCAGGAAACGTCTGATCATGACCAACAGTATGAAACACCTCTGTGGCTTTAAACGGATTACAACCTGCTGTGACAGTGTTCCTGTTTTCGTGCTGTCCCTGAATGTTACACAATGCATAAATACCATTTGATTAACCTGCAATCCAAACGTTATCCGAGTAAAAGTAGAAACTTTTAGCATCAAAATATACTTAAAGTACCAAACGTAAAAGTAGATCTTGTACTTGAGTAAAAGTAGAAGTACTCAGATCTTGTACTTGAGTAAAAGTAGAAGTACTCAGATCTTGTACTAGAGTAAAGGTAGAAGTACTCAGATCTTGTACTTGAGTAACAGTAGAAGTACTCAGATCTTGTACTTGAGTAACAGTAGAAGTACTCAGATCTTGTACTTGAGTGAAAGTAGAAGTACTCAGATCTTGTACTTGAGTAAAAGTAGAAGTACTCAGACCTTGTACTGGAGTAAAAGTAGAAGTACTCAGATCTTGAGTAAAGTAGAAGTACTCAGATCTTGAGTAAAAGTAGAAGTACTCAGATCTTGTACTTAATTAAAGTATAGTACTCAGATCTTGTACTTGAGTAAAAGTAGAAGTACCAGAGAGTAGGAATACTCTGTTACAGTGAAAGTCCTGCATTCAAAATGTTCCTCAAGTGAAAGTATAAAAGTATTCTCATCTAAATATAGTGAAAGACAGTAAAAGTAGTCGTTGTGCAGATTGGTCCATTTCAGAATAATATATATGATATGTTTTATAGTGATTGATCATGAAAGTGTTCTCAAAGCTGGTGAAGGTGCAGCTAGTTTGAAGTACTTTGTATACTGCAGGGTAGCTGGTGGATTTACTCCAGGTGGAACTAAAGTCTGATTAATATCTGAAGCACAATTAGACGATCTGATTATTATCACTGATTCATATTCATCACACATCTCAACACTCAGATCCACAGAAACACAAACCCAGAACAATGTACAGGTTTTATTTTGTTCATTCATACAAGTCTCATCAAGCAACGTCAATAATCTAAAGTTCAAAAATAGATTTCATAGAGGATTGATCCAGACGTTATCTTCAGCTACTGGGAGGAGCTTCACTACGTTAAACACTACGAGCTACAGCGCTACTGCAAACACGCGGGAAGAAATCAGAGCAAAGGTCGAAGGTCGGAGTGTTTCAGAGGAGGCTCGGTTTGTGATGAAGAAGAGGATCGTCAGGAGGAAGTCATCTTCGTCTTCTTCTGTCCTTCAGTTGGTCTTCTTTACCCTGGAGGACAGACACACATTCAGACGAGTCAATAACTGAGCCGACTCAAAACCATCACTAAACCAACAGCCAGACATGAGTCCTGAACCCTGACCTGAGTCAGCATTATGAGTCCTGACCCCTGACCTGAGTCAGCATTATGAGTCCTGACCCCTGACCTGAGTCAGCATTATGAGTCCTGACCCCTGACCTGAGTCAGCATTATGAGTCCTGACCCCTGACCTGAGTCAGCATTATGAGTCCTGACCCCTGACCTGAGTCAGCATTATGAGTCCTGAACCCTGACCTGAGTCAGCATTATGAGTCCTGACCCCTGACCTGAGTCAGCATTATGAGTCCTGACCCCTGACCTGAGTCAGCATTATGAGTCCTGAACCCTGACCTGAGTCAGCATTATGAGTCCTGACCCCTGACCTGAGTCAGCATTATGAGTCCTGAACCCTGACCTGAGTCAGCATTATGAGTCCTGACCCCTGACCTGAGTCAGCATTATGAGTCCTGACCCCTGACCTGAGTCAGCATTATGAGTCCTGACCCCTGACCTGAGTCAGCATTATGAGTCCTGACCCTGACCTGAGTCAGCATTATGAGTCCTGAACCCTGACCTGAGTCAGCATTATGAGTCCTGACCCTGACCTGAGTCAGCATTATGAGTCCTGACCCTGACCTGAGTCAGCATTATGAGTCCTGACCCCTGACCGAGTCAGCATTATGAGTCCTGACCCCTGACCTGAGTCAGCATTATGAGTCCTGAACCCCTGACCTGAGTCAGCATTATGAGTCCTGACCCTGACCTGAGTCAGCATTATGAGTCCTGACCCCTGACCTGAGTCAGCATTATGAGTCCTGACCCCTGACCTGAGTCAGCATTATGATGCCTACCTACTGAGTCAGCATTATGAGTCCTGACCCCTGACTTGAGTCAGCATTATGAGTCCTGAACCCTGACCTGAGTCAGCATTATGAGTCCTGACCCCTGACCTGAGTCAGCATTATGAGTCCTGACCCCTGACCTGAGTCAGCATTATGAGTCCTGAACCCTGACCTGAGTCAGCATGATGAGTCCTGACCCCTGACCTGAGTCAGCATTATGAGTCCTGACCTGAGTCAGCATTATGAGTCCCGAACCCTGACATGAGTCAGCATTATGAGTCCTGACCCCTGACCTGAGTCAGCATTATGAGTCCTGACCTGAGTCAGCATTATGAGTCCTGAACCCTGACCCTGAGTCAGCATTATGAGTCCTGAACCCTGACCTGAGTCAGCATGATGAGTCCTGAACCCTGACATGAGTCAGCATGATGAGTCCTGACCCCTGACCTGAGTCAGCATTATGAGTCCTGACCCCTGACCTGAGTCAGCATTATGAGTCCTGACCCCTGACCTGAGTCAGCATTATGAGTCCTGAACCCTGACCTGAGTCAGCATTATGAGTCCTGAACCCTGACCTGAGTCAGCATGATGAGTCCTGACCCCTGACCTGAGTCAGCATTATGAGTCCTGACCTGAGTCAGCATTATGAGTCCTGAACCCTGACATGAGTCAGCATTATGAGTCCTGACCCCTGACCTGAGTCAGCATTATGAGTCCTGACCTGAGTCAGCATTATGAGTCCTGAACCCTGACCTGAGTCAGCATGATGAGTCCTGAACCCTGACCTGAGTCAGCATTATGAGTCCTGAACCCTGACCTGAGTCAGCATGATAAGTCCTGAACCCTGACATGAGTCAGCATTATGAGTCCTTAACCCTGACCTGAGTCAGCATTATGAGTCCTGAACCCTGACCTGAGTCAGCATGATAAGTCCTGAACCCTGACATGAGTCAGCATTATGAGTCCTTAACCCTGACATGAGTCAGCATTATGAGTCCTGAACCCTGAGTCAGCATTATGAGTCCTGAACCCTGACCTGAGTCAGCATTATGAGTCCTGACCTGAGTCAGCATTATGAGTCCTGAACCCTGACCTGAGTCAGAATTATGAGTCCTGACCTGAGTCAGCATGATGAGTCCTGAACCCTGAGTCAGCATTATGAGTCCTGAACCCTGAGTCAGCATTATGAGTCCTGAACCCTGACCTGAGGCTGCAGCCACACGAGGACAAAAACGGCCGTTTGCGTTACTGTTTAGTGTCACATAGACCATTCGGCCACACGAGGACGACCGCATACGGCACTAAACGACTGAGGAAACGATAACGGGTCCCAAGGTGGATAGAACGGCATACGCAACGCTCTGGGGGTCCAACGGCTCCGTGTGTACGCCCTATACGATCATTTTCTGATAATGATTGCGCAATAGCCCCGCCTCTCCCCACCTCCGCGTACCCCGCGCCATTGCTGATGTGTTTCGCCACCAACAACAACAACAATGGCGGATCGCAGAGTTGCTATCTTGCTCCGGACGCTACTGACCATGCTACAGTTCTTTGTGCAACATCTACAGCAGACTTACACATCATGGGGGATCTTACTCGCTGCTTTTGTGGATATGTACTGCAGCTTCAGCGATCATTTTCTGATAATGATTGCGCAATAGCCCCGCCTCTCCCCACCTCTGCTGCTCACCCCCGCGTCAAAGTAAACTGCACACTGAATTCAGATTATTTATCTTTCTCTCGATATGGACATAAACGCGAGTGAAGTCTAATCTGACAGGATGGAGACACTTCTCAAACTACCTAGTTATAAATATGTTTATTTTTGCTGTCGGCCGGGTCACTCATTACTGGATCAGCTGCTGCATGAGACAGACACTGACGCTGTCCGGAGAGAGGGAGGAAAAAGAGAGGCTCCGTGTATTTGTATTATTATATTATATAGAGTCGTTATTCATTTGTTTTAAAGCTCAATAACTAAGAAGACCTTTGACCGGCACTTTTATCATTTTGTCGGAAGGTTTAAACTTTAATACACGTTGACTGGCGAAAAACTCTGCCCGGTTCCCTCGGCCCCCACCGCGGAGAATAAACAGAAGGGCAACCATGACAACCATGCTTCTTCGCTGCTTTTGTGGAGGAAGTTACAGCGCCACGTACAGGCTCCTGCATGTACTGCAGCTTCTCCAGCGGTTGGAGCTAAACGGAGCGGTCTCGTGTGGACAGACACTATCCGGATAACTATTGCGTGTGGACGGAAGCTTGTTTGCGATTGCGTTTGCGTTAATCCTATGCGTTTAGACGTTTTCGTCCTCGTGTGGCCGGGGTCTGAGTCAGCATTATGAGTCCTGAACCCTGACCTGAGTCAGCATTATGAGTCCTGACCTGAGTCAGCATTATGAGTCCTAAAGACATGAGTCAGCATTATGAGTCCTGACATGAGTCAGCATTGAGTCCTGACCTGAGTCAGCATTATGAGTCCTGAACCCTGACCTGAGTCAGCATTATGAGTCCTGAAGACATGAGTCAGCATTATGAGTCCTGACCTGAGTCAGCATTATGAGTCCTAAAGACATGAGTCAGCATTATGAGTCCTGACATGAGTCAGCATTGAGTCCTGACCTGAATCAGCATTATGAGTCCTGAACCCTGACCTGAGTCAGCATTATGAGTCCTGAAGACATGAGTCAGCATTATGAGTCCTGACCTGAGTCAGCATTATGAGTCCTAAAGACATGAGTCAGCACTATGAGTCCTGACATGAGTCAGCATTGAGTCCTGACCTGAGTCAGCATTATGAGTCCTGAACCCTGACCTGAGTCAGCATTATGAGTCCTGAAGACATGAGTCAGCATTATGAGTCCTGACCTGAGTCAGCATTATGAGTCCTAAAGACATGAGTCAGCATTATGAGTCCTGACATGAGTCAGCATTGAGTCCTGACCTGAATCAGCATTATGAGTCCTGAACCCTGACCTGAGTCAGCATTATGAGTCCTGAAGACATGAGTCAGCATTATGAGTCCTAAAGACATGAGTCAGCATTATGAGTCCTGACATGAGTCAGCATTGAGTCCTGACCTGAATCAGCATTATGAGTCCTGAACCCTGACCTGAGTCAGCATTATGAGTCCTAAAGACATGAGTCAGCATTATGAGTCCTGACCTGAGTCAGCATTATGAGTCCTAAAGACATGAGTCAGCACTATGAATCCTAAAGACATGAGTCAGCATTATGAGTCCTGACCTGAGTCAGCATTATGAGTCCTAAAGACATGAGTCAGCATTATGAGTCCTAAAGACATGAGTCAGCACTATGAGTCCTAAAGACATGAGTCAGCATTATGAGTCCTGACCTGAGTCAGCATTATGAGTCCTAAAGACATGAGTCAGCACTATGAGTCCTGAACCCTGACCTGAGTCAGCATTATGAGTCCTAAAGACATGAGTCAGCATTATGAGTCCTGACCTGAGTCAGCATTATGAGTCCTGACCTGAGTCAGCATTATGAGTCCTGACCTGAGTCAGCATTATGAGTCCTGACCTGAGTCAGCATTATGAGTCCTGACCTGAGTCAGCATTATGAGTCCTGACCTGAGTCAGCATTATGAGTCCTGACCTGAGTCAGCATTATGAGTCCTGACCTGAGTCAGCATTATGAGTCCTGACCTGAGTCAGTATTATGAGTCCTGACCTGAGTCAGCATTATGAGTCCTGACCTGAGTCAGCATTATGAGTCCTGACCTGAGTCAGTATTATGAGTCCTGACCTGAGTCAGCATTATGAGTCCTGACCTGAGTCATTATATGAGTCCTGACCTGAGTCAGCATTATGAGTCCTGACCTGAGTCAGCATTATGAGTCCTGACCTGAGTCAGCATTATGAGTCCTGACCTGAGTCAGAGCACTATGAGTCCTGACCTGAGTCAGCATTATGAGTCCTGACCTGAGTCAGCATTATGAGTCCTGACCTGAGTCAGTATTATTGAGTCCTGAACCCTGAGTCAGCATGTATGAGTCTGACCTGAGTCAGCATTATGAGTCCTGACCTGAGTCAGCATTATGAGTCCTAAAGACATGAGTCAGCACTATGAGTCCTGACCTGAGTCAGCATTATGAGTCCTGACCTGAGTCAGCATTATGAGTCCTGACCTGAGTCAGCATTATGAGTCCTAAGACATGAGTCCAGCATTATGAGTCCTGACCTGAGTCAGCATTATGAGTCCTGACCTGAGTCAGCATTATGAGTCCCTAAAGACATGAGTCAGCATATGAGTCCCGACCTGAGTCAGCATTATGAGTCCTGACCTGAGTCAGCATTATGAGTCCTAAAGACATGAGTCAGCACTATATGAGTCCTGACCTGAGTCAGCATTATGAGTCCTGACCTGATTCAGCATTATGAGTCCTGACCTGAGTCAGCCTTATGAGTCCTGACCTGAGTCAGCATTATGAGTCCTGACCTGAGTCAGCCATTATGAGTCCTGACCTGAGTCAGCATTATGAGTCCTGACCTGAGTCAGCACTATGAGTCCTGACCTGAGTCAGCATTATGAGTCCTGACCTGAGTCAGCATTATGAGTCCTGACCTGAGTCAGCCTTATGAGTCCTGACCTGAGTCAGCATTATGAGTCCTGACCTGAGTCAGCATTATGAGTCCTGACCTGAGTCAGCATCTGAGTCCTGACCTGAGTCAGCATTATGAGTCCTGACCTGAGTCAGTATTATGAGTCCTGAACCCTGAGTCAGCATTATGAGTCCTGACCTGAGTCAGCATTATGAGTCCTGACCTGAGTCAGCATTATGAGTCCTGACCTGAGTCAGCACTATGAGTCCTGACCTGAGTCAGTATTATGAGTCCTGAACCCTGAGTCAGCATTATGAGTCCTGACCTGAGTCAGCATTATGAGTCCTGACCTGAGTCAGCATTATGAGTCCTAAAGACATGAGTCAGCACTATGAGTCCTGACCTGAGTCAGCATTATGAGTCCTGACCTGAGTCAGCATTATGAGTCCTGACCTGAGTCAGCCTTATGAGTCCTGACCTGAGTCAGCATTATGAGTCCTGACCTGAGTCAGCATTATGAGTCCTGACCTGAGTCAGCACTATGAGTCCTGACCTGAGTCAGCATTATGAGTCCTGACCTGAGTCAGCATTATGAGTCCTGACCTGAGTCAGTATTATGAGTCCTGAACCCTGAGTCAGCATTATGAGTCCTGACCTGAGTCAGCATTATGAGTCCTGACCTGAGTCAGCATTATGAGTCCTGACCTGAGTCAGCATTATGAGTCCTGACCTGAGTCAGCATTATGAGTCCTAAAGACATGAGTCAGCACTATGAGTCCTGACCTGAGTCAGCATTATGAGTCCTGACCTGAGTCAGCATTATGAGTCCTGACCTGAGTCAGCATTATGAGTCCTAAAGACATGAGTCAGCACTATGAGTCCTGACCTGAGTCAGCATTATGAGTCCTGACCTGAGTCAGCATTATGAGTCCTGACCTGAGTCAGCATTATGAGTCCTGACCTGAGTCAGCATTATGAGTCCTGACCTGAGTCAGCATTATGAGTCCTGACCTGAGTCAGCATTATGAGTCCTGACCTGAGTCAGTATTATGAGTCCTGACCCTGAGTCAGCATTATGAGTCCTGACCTGAGTCAGCATTATGAGTCCTGACCTGAGTCAGCATTATGAGTCCTGACCTGAGTCAGCACTATGAGTCCTGACCTGAGTCAGCATTATGAGTCCTGACCTGAGTCAGCATTATGAGTCCTGACCTGAGTCAGCATTATGAGTCCTGACCTGAGTCAGCATTATGAGTCCTGACCTGAGTCAGCATTATGAGTCCTGACCTGAGTCAGCATTATTAGTCCTGACCTGAGTCAGCATTATGAGTCCTGACCTGAGTCAGCATTATGAGTCCTGACCTGAGTCAGCCTTATGAGTCCTGAACCCTGAGTCAGCATTATGAGTCCTGACCTGAGTCAGCACTATGAGTCCTGACCTGAGTCAGCACTATGAGTCCTGACCTGAGTCTACATTATGAGTCCTGACCTGAGTCAGCCTTATGAGTCCTGAACCCTGAGTCAGCATTATGAGTCCTGACCTGAGTCAGCATTATGAGTCCTGACCTGAGTCAGCACTATGAGTCCTGACCTGAGTCAGCACTATGAGTCCTGACCTGAGTCAGCATTATGAGTCCTGACCTGAGTCAGCATTATGAGTCCTGACCTGAGTCAGCACTATGAGTCCTGACCTGAGTCAGCATTATGAGTCCTGACCTGAGTCAGCATTATGAGTCCTGACCTGAGTCAGCATTATGAGTCCTGACCTGAGTCAGCATTATGAGTCCTGACCTGAGTCAGCATTATTAGTCCTGACCTGAGTCAGCATTATGAGTCCTGACCTGAGTCAGCATTATGAGTCCTGACCTGAGTCAGCCTTATGAGTCCTGAACCCTGAGTCAGCATTATGAGTCCTGACCTGAGTCAGCACTATGAGTCCTGACCTGAGTCAGCACTATGAGTCCTGACCTGAGTCAGCATTATGAGTCCTGACCTGAGTCATAATTATGAGTCCTGACCTGAGTCAGCATTATGAGTCCTGACCTGAGTCAGCATTATGAGTCCTGACCTGAGTCAGCATTATGAGTCCTGACCTGAGTCAGCATTATGAGTCCTGACCTGAGTCAGCATTATTAGTCCTGACCTGAGTCAGCATTATGAGTCCTGACCTGAGTCAGCATTATGAGTCCTGACCTGAGTCAGCCTTATGAGTCCTGAACCCTGAGTCAGCATTATGAGTCCTGACCTGAGTCAGCACTATGAGTCCTGACCTGAGTCAGCACTATGAGTCCTGACCTGAGTCAGCACTATGAGTCCTGACCTGAGTCAGCATTATGAGTCCTGAACCCTGAGTCAGCATTATGAGTCCTGACCTGAGTCAGCACTATGAGTCCTGACCTGAGTCAGCACTATGAGTCCTGACCTGAGTCTACATTATGAGTCCTGACCTGAGTCAGCACTATGAGTCCTGACCTGAGTCAGCATTATGAGTCAGCATTATGAATGAGTATGGAATGAGTCCCCAGCCCCCCCACAGAGTCTCACCCCTGGTCTTCTTCCCTTTGGAGGCGCAGGGCTTGGCCACCGTGACGCTGGGCTGGCACTCTGCGTTGAACAGAGCTCTCTTCAGAGTTCCTGAGCGGCTCTTCGTGTTCGTGTCGGCGTCGCAGGACCCCCAGGGGGCGAACTTGTACTTACAGTCGCCTGCAGAGGAAGAAAACGTACTTTAATATACTTATATATTGTATATTTATGTGTGTAATCAGTGTGTTTGAGATGTATATAAAGTGTCTATTCAGTGTGTGTGTGTGTGTGGGTGTGTGTGTGTGTGTGTGTGTGTGTGTGTGTGTGTGTGTGTGTGTGTGTGTGTGTGTGTGTGTGTGTGGGTGTGTGTGTGTGTGTGTGTGTGTGTGTGTGTGTGTGTGTGTGTGTGTGACTCACTGATGTCCTTCTTCCAGTTGCAGGGCACTCCGCAGTGGATCTTGTCTCTCGTCTCTCCACACACTGCGTCTCTCAGTCCGTCTCCACAGTCTCCCTGCTCGGGGACACACTTCCCGTACTGAGTCTCTGCGGGGGGGCAGTCTGAGGGGGGGCGGGTCTTATCATGTTTACCACCTGGGGGGGGGGGACATTAGTTTAAGTTGGGAAGAAGTCCGAACATTTTTGACAGAAACACAGGAGTATATATTTTGGAAAAACACATTTGGTTTGAAAAAAGTTCAGATCATTTGTGTTTAGTTTCAATGTTTTTGAAACATCACATGTTTTTATGAAGAAGTTGGAAATCTGCATATTTTTTACATAAGATTCAGAAATGTTTTCATATTTTGAGTCACATTGAGTTCAATCGGGAAAGAGTCAGAACATTTGACAGAAACATGGGAATATATTAAAAAATGGAGTTTGGAAAAAGTTGAAAATATGTTGTGTTAAAGTTCTAATCTTTTGAAACATCACATATTTTTAGATCAAATTCAGAAAATCTTTGATTATTTTCAGAGAAAATTTGAATTGAACGATAAAGAAAAACTCAAGATTCTCTTTATTGTGAATCAGAGATAAGTCTGAGCTTCACGTCGGGGTTCACATCTCTCTCAGCTCTGCAGCAGTTCAGCACGACTAAACACAGGTGTGTGTGTGTGTGTGTGTGTGTGTGTGTGTGTGTGTGTGTGTGTGTGTGTGTGTGTGTGTGTGTGTGTGTTCATGATAAACTGGATAGGAGTTTTGAATCAGAGTTTAAGGGACTGCAGAGATTAAAATAGGGAACAAACTCGATGAACGCAGAATCAGAGTTTTGATTTGATATTAGAGTGTGTGTGCAGTGTGCATTCAAGTGTGTGCACGTGTGTGTGTGTGTGTGTGTGTGTGTGTGTGTGTGTGTGTGTGTGTGTGTGTGTGTGTGCAGTGTGCATTAGTGTGTGTGTGTGTGTTGAAGATGTCATTTCTCACCAGCAGGTGAACCCGGTCGTCCCACTGTTTACCTGCAATCTGGGGGTGAAATGCATTGTGGGAAACAGCAGGGAGCTCTCTCACCTTTGTGGTTCTTGTTCCTCCGGCTGGCCTCACAGCTGAGAGTCAGCAGCAGCACGAGCAGCGTCACTGAGAACAAACCTCGCATCCTGCACACACGCAACAACTACAAATCAATGTTTTACATTAGTCTCTGGCTTTCATTGTATTCATTATTACATCACATGACATGATATCACATCACATGACATGACATCACATGACATCACATGACATCACATGACATGACATCACATGACATCACATGACATGACATCACATGACATCACATGACATGACATGACATCACATGACATCACATCACATGACATCACATGACATCACATGACATCACATCACATGACATGACATCACATGACATCACATGACATGACATCACATGACATGACATCACATGACATGACATCACATGACATCACATGACATCACATCACATGACATCACATGACATCACATGACATGACATCACATGACATCACATGACATGACATCACATGACATCACATGACATCACATCACATGACATGACATCACATGACATCACATGACATCACATGACATCACATCACATGACATGACATCACATCACATGACATCACATGACATGACATCACATGACATCACATGACATCACATGACATCACATCACATGACATCACATGACATTACATCACATGACATCACATGACATCACATGACATCACATGACATGACATCACATGACATCACATTACATCACATGATATGACATCACATGACATCACATGACATCACATGACATGACATCACATGACATCACATGACATGACATCACATGACATCACATGACATCACATGACATGACATCACATGACATCACATGACATGACATCACATGACATCACATGACATGACATCACATGACATCACATCACATGACATCACATGACATCACATGACATCACATGACATCACATGACATCACATGACATGACATCACATGACATCACATGACATGACATCACATGACATCACATGACATCACATCACATGACATCACATGACATCACATGACATCACATGACATGACATCACATGACATCACATGACATCACATGACATCACATGACATGACATCACATGACATCACATCACATCACATGACATGACATCACATGACATCACATGACATCACATCACATGACATCACATGACATCACATTACATCACATCACATGACATCACATGACATCACATCACATGACATTACATCACATCACATGACATCACATCACATGACATTACATGACATCACATCACATGACATCACATGACATCACATTACATCACATGACATCACATGACATCACATCACATGACATTACATCACATCACATGACATGACATCACATCACATGACATTACATCACATTACATCACATGACATCACATGACATCACATGACATCACATCACATGACATTACATCACATGACATCACATCACATCACATGACATGACATCACATGACATCACATGACATGACATCACATGACATCACATCACATCACATGACATGACATCACATGACATGACATCACATGACATCACATGACATCACATCACATCACATGACATCACATCACATGACATTACATCACATCACATGACATGACATCACATGACATTACATGACATCACATGACATCACATCACATGACATCACATGACATCACATTACATCACATGACATCACATGACATCACATCACATGACATTACATCACATCACATGACATGACATCACATGACATTACATCACATGACATCACATGACATCACATGACATCACATCACATGACATCACATGACATCACATGACATCACATCACATGACATCACATCACATGACATTACATCACATCACATGACATGACATCACATCACATCACATGACATCACATCACATGACATCACATGACATCACATGACATCACATCACATGACATCACATGACATCACATTACATCACATCACATGACATCACATGACATCACATCACATGACATTACATGACATCACATCACATGACATTACATCACATGACATCACATGACATCACATCACATGACATCACATTACATGACATCACATGACATCACATCACATGACATCACATCACATGACATTACATCACATCACATGACATGACATCACATCACATCACATGACATCACATCACATGACATCACATGACATCACATGACATCACATCACATGACATCACATGACATCACATGACATCACATCACATGACATTACATGACATCACATCACATGACATTACATCACATGACATCACATGACATCACATCACATGACATCACATCACATGACATCACATCACATGACATTACATGACATCACATCACATGACATGACATCACATGACATCACATCACATGACATCACATGACATCACATCACATGACATTACATGACATCACATCACATCACATGACATCACATGACATCACATGACATCACATCACATGACATCACATGACATCACATTACATCACATCACATGACATCACATGACATCACATCACATGACATCACATTACATGACATCACATGACATCACATGACATCACATGACATCACATGACATCACATCACATGACATCACATCACATCACATTACATGACATCACATGACATCACATGACATCACATCACATGACATCACATGACATCACATTACATGACATCACATGACATCACATGACATCACATCACATTACATCACATCACATGACATCACATGACATCACATGACATTACATCACATGACATTACATCACATGACATTACATCACATCACATGACATGACATTACATCACATGACATTACATCACATGACATTACATCACATGACATGACATGACATCACATCACATGACATGACATCACATGACTTGTTAGACGCCTTTATCCAAAGCGACTCACATACTCAGCACTGAGGACACTCCCCACAGGAGCACTTTGGGGTGAAGGGTCTCAGGGACACAACGACATGCTGACTGCAGTGGGGTTTGAACCTGTGACCCCTGATCCAACACCAATCCACTGCGCCACAAGCCTCCTGCTCCCCGTGTGTTTTCTCCTTTGATCTGTGTTTCTGTTGCTGCTCTAACGTCTGAGCTTTACTAAGGTCCGTCTGATCGGATGATGAGACTCTGTCGTTCCTTTATCGCCCAAAGTCACAACTAAACCTCAAAGCGACTAAAAGAGATGCAAAAGACACTAAAGTGATGAAGCTGGCGCAATAAACTACAAAGCTATAGAAAACTACAAAAATGAATATGCAAAAGGCCTAAAAAAAAGCTACTTAGATTCTCAAACAACTTCAAAGAGATACAATGAGAACTACAAGCAGTGACAAAAAGAACTACAAAGATGGGGGAAATAACTATGAGAGTTACTATAGAGTGGCGAAGTCACGCCCATCTACTTCCGGTCCATGGGACCTTATTTCTGAATAATAATGCATTGAAGTCAATGGAGAGAGAAAACGTATCTTTCGATCCCGTTTGAATTGTGCCATGAATTACACATATGATGTTTGTTCATCTTTAAAATCATTTCCAGGTCAAAAAAGTCACAGTTTTTCTTAAAACTGTTGAAATATAAGACTATGAAAAATACGCAACTAGAAAGACTACAAATCCCAGAGTCGCGTGAGTGATGTCACAACTGTTTTCCTCCACTGAGAGATAGCTAAGATCAGCGCCATATAGATAGAATCTATCTATATGGCGCTGGCTAAGATAAGATCACCTTAACAAGATGCCTGTGTGCTTAGTACCAGGCTGTAATCATACCAGCAATGGGTCTTGCTCGTTCTTTCGCTTCCTGTCTGATGAAAGGACCAGGAGTGGCTGGATCAAGTTAGCTACCTAGCTAGTAGCTAGCACGTTAGTTAGCATGACAGCCTTGTCATTTTTATTAGCCTTAACATGAAGTAACATTAAGTAACCCAACATGTTAAACAGTAAGAGTAGTAGTCATATTTCGTGAACCTTTTGAAGAGTACTGTCACCGGTGTGATCGTTCTATAATACACCATTTAAGCCCGGGGGAGAAATGCTAACGCTACATTAGCATCTGCGATCTGTTCTACTTCACGCTATCTGCACTAAAGGTTGACATTAAACATTAAAAAGACCAGGCAGTTCAGAGAGAATCAAAGGAAGGCAGCTCTGCATGACGTTCCTCTGGACGTGTTTCATTGTGGTGATAGTGAGGGTGAGAGGGTGATAGTGAGGGTGAGAGGGTGATAGTGAGGGTGAGGGTGATAGTGAGGGTGATAGTGAGGTTGAGAGGCGGTGCCTAGATGAGGTGTAGGGTGAGGAGGGTGATAGTGAGTGTGATAGTGAGGGTGATAGTGAGGGTGATAGTGAATGGTGATAGGGTGGATAGTGAGGGTGCTAGTGAGGGTGAGAGGTGTGACTAGTGATGGTTGATAGGGTGAGCGTGGAGGTGATTAGTGAGGGTGATATGAGGCGGTGATAGTGAGGGTGATAGGGTCGATAGTGAGGGTGAGAGGGTGATAGTGAGGGTGTGATAGTGATGGTGATAGGGTGATAGTGAGGGTGAGAGGGTGATAGTGAGGGTGAGAGGGTGGGATAGTGAGGGTGATAGGGTGATAGTGAGGGTGATAGTGATGGTGATAGGGTGATGATGGTGATAGGGTGATTGATTTTGTGATGGGAGTGATAGTGAGGGTGAGAGGGTGATAGTGATGGTGATAGTGAGGGTGATAGGGTGATGGTGATAGGGTGATAGTGATGGTGATAGGGTGATAGTGAGGGTGAGAGGGTGATAGTGATGGTGATAGGGTGATGGTGATAGGGTGATAGTGATGGTGATAGGGTGATAGTGAGGGTGAGAGGGTGATAGTAGGGTGATAGTGATGGTGATAGGGTGATGGTGATAGGGTGATAGTGATGGTGATAGGGTGATAGTGAGGGTGAGAGGTGATAGTGAGGGTGAGAGGGTGATAGTGAGGGTGATGAGAGGGTGATAGTGAGGGTGAGAGGGTGTGATAGTGAGGGGTGATAGTGATGGTGATAGGGTGATAGTGAGGGTGAGAGGGTGATAGGGGGTGAGAGGGTGATAGTGATGTGATAGTGATAGGGTGATAGTGAGGG